CCATGGAAATGGAATCATTTCGAATATCTATTCATATAATGTCTACTTGTTGGTTTCGAATACTGATCTCCTTGCCACGGATTGCAAATTCTCAATTACTCCAAATGTAACCTCCCTCCCAGGTTCAATAGATCCAAACAACAATTCGAATCTATTCTCCATAGAACAAATTCTTGTCATTGTTCTACCAATAGTTGTTGGTGGTGGCGTGATAGTTTGTGCCATTGTTGCCTTTATTATTGTGGCACTTGTTGTTTACAGAAAGAGAAAGAATACAACATCAGATATGAATGTACAATTGATGCAAACAACTCCCTATTATGAAATTAGTAGACAATAAATTGAATAAGAAGCTGTGTTTCGTGACAAAATTTAAAACTAATTGCATTAGCCGGGAGTCGAACCCGGGTCACCAGCTTGGAAGGCTGGTATGATACCGTTACACTACTAATGCTTTACATTAAGGTTTTGCAAAATCACACTCTTCTTTATTATCACAACTAAGGCCTTCAATGGCTTATCCATATTCAGCTTCAATATTTGAGCTTCACTTCCAATTGAATTTAGCAAGGTCTGGCATAGGCGTATGGGTAAGCATACGGAGCTGCATAACTTACTGGAGTTGCATATGAAACTGGAGCAACTGCATAAGTGGCAACTGGTGCAGCGACTGCATAGGTTGCAGCCACAGGAGCAGCATAGGTAACTGGAGCTACAGCATAGGCATAAGTAGAAGCAACTGGCGGATAGCAATTTGCTCCTCCATATGCCCCATATCCTCCATATCCTCCATATCCTCCATATGAATATGGATAAGCGTATGGATATGCATAAGATGAAGCAATATAAGAATCAGTTGAACAATACACTGTGCAAGCTGCAAATAAGAGAACTAACAGAATGGCAATGATTTGTTTCATTTTGTTTTTTAGTTTTGATTTGTTTTGGAGAATGTAAATCTCGTTTGATTAAATATGATTTTTACATACAATAAGATTAGGAAAATTTATTGTTTTGGATTGCTATCTTTCAAAAAAATCCAAATTCCAGAAATGGAAATGTTTAGAGATGGTATTTGGATTTCAAGTTTTCTCTCTACTATTCTTGTTTTGGAGGATCCCCAAAAAGAACAACGGTACTCTCGTACCTGGGCGAACTTGGTGACACAATAATTGATAAATCACTTGCTCCACTCGTATTATTTGCATTATTTCTTATCCTGATAAGCTTACTGACAACCTCTTG